GCCCAGATAGGTTCACTGGTGAGTCTGTCAGACATTTATGGAAGAAGTTGTACCTGTGTCCTGTATTCTCTTTGTGCAGATAAAAGCAGAGGGGATATTTCCTAATTTATTCTATGTGGCAAGCATAGATATTAAAAGAAAGGAAATCTACGGACTAGTACCTCTCATGAACATAGGTGCAGAATTCCTCAACAAAATATTAGCAAATCAAATCCAAAAACAGAAACTATTACACAACACAACCAAGTGGGATTTATTCCAGGTATGCAAAGCTGGGTTAACAATGGAAAATCAGTTAATGTAATCTATCTAAAGAAAAAAAAATGACCCTGTCAATAGATGCAGAGAAAGCATTTCACAAAATCCAGTACCTGTTTATGACAAGAATTCTCAGCAATCTAGGAATAGGGGAGAACATCCTCAATTTGATGAAGAATACGAAAAAAATTACAGTTAATATTTGGTGTTGAGACTTCCCACTAAGATCAACAACAATGTAAAAATGTCCCATCATCATTACTTTTCAACATTATACTGAAAGTCTTAGCTAATGCAATAGGCTAAGTGAAGGAAATTAAAAGTATACATGTTTGTTGTGATGTGACTTTTTTATGTAGAAAGCCCTAAAGAATCAAGAAAAAATCGAAAACTCATAAGTGATTATAGCAAGGTTGTGGAATATAAGGTTAATATATAAAAAGCCACTTATATACCAGCAATAAACAATTGGAATTTGAAATTAGAAACAAAGATCATTAAACTATAATTTAAAAGGATACATGCACCCCTGTGTTCATAGCAGTACTGTTTACAGTAGCCAAGACATGCAAGCAATCCAAATGTCCATTGACGGATGAATGGATAAAGAAGATTTGATGTGTATATATTGAGTTGGTCAAAAAGTCCCCTTAGTTTTTAAGTAAAAGATGGGACTTTTCATTTTTACCTAGAACTTTATTGAACAACTTATTCACCATTTTGTTCCACTACCTTCTGTCATTTTTCAGGCAACTTCATAATTTCATCTTCCCCAAACTTAACGAAAAGATAACTTTTTCCCCACCCAATAGAACCACCAATATGATTTATCAATTCCACTTCCAGTTATATGTCCAAAATAATCTAAAGCAGGAGTTTGAACCAGATATTTATAAGCAGCACTATTCGCAGTAGCTAGGAGGTGGGAGCAACTTAAATATCCCATCAATGGATGACTGGATAAAGAAAATGCAGTGTGTATATACAGTGGAATGCTACTGAGCCTTGAAAGGAATTTATGACACATTCTCTAGCATATATTTGAGGACATTTTGCCTTGAGTAATACACCAGTCACAGAAGAATGCCTACTGTGTGATTCACTTACGTGAGGTGTCGAAACTAGTCACCTTGTAGGAATAGAAAGCTGGATGGTGGCTGCTTAGGGACAGGGAGGTGGTGAGCTGCTGTTAGGTGGATGTAGACTTGTAGCCATGCAGCATGGGGCCTTCTGGGGTATGTTGCACAGTCATGTGTGTGCAGTTGACAGTACTGTGCTGACCACCTGGAAATGTTGGGAGAGTGATTACAAGTTTTTTTCTGTAGTTAAAAAACCAGTAAAATATAAATTTCTTTGTGGTATGGCTCCAGTAAATAATATTCTAACTCATAAAAGCAACAACTGTACTAATCAAAATAGTATGGAACTAAAAAAATGTTAGACATACAGATTTACTGTACCAGGTAGAAAGTTCAGAATTATCCCCATACACACATGGTCAGGTGATATTTGACAAAGGAGGTAGGGCAGTTTAATAGGGAAAGGAAAGTCTCTACATAAGGTTGTACTTGAAAAATTGAATAAGATGTGTAAAACACCAGCCTCCACTACTTAGAAAAATTAAGCTGAAGTGATTCCTAGACCTAAGAGTAAAAAGTAGAAGTATAAAGCTTCCCAAACCTTGGGTTACAGATTTCATAGACAGAATTCAAAAAGTGCTAGTTAGAGAGGAAAAAATAAGAGAGTGAATCTCATGAAAATGAAAAATTTCTCCTCATCGAGCACACTATTAAAGGTATGAAAGTTGAGCCATAGACTTGGGATGAATATTTTCAAAACATAATCATGTTGGCAGCTTCTTTACAGACTATTACATGGTGGGAAAAATAGCGTCTTTACTTTAGAAGAGTTTTATAGCACCACCTTAACTTAGGACCAAAGTTAACTCCATCAGTAGGGAACAGACTTACGTGAAGTCCCTGCTAAAATGCATGGTCTGCATCTAGTCATGAGGAAATATCAGAAAACCCAGGCTGAAGACAATCTACAAAATAACTGGCCTGTATCCTTTAAAGTCCTAAAAGAAATCAGTCCTGAATATTCATTGGAAGGACTGATGCTGAAGCTCAAACTCCAATACTTGGGCCACCTAATGTGAAGAACTGACTCATTGGAAAAGACTCCCATGCTGGGAAAGATTGAAGGCAGGAAGAGGAGCGGCCGACAGAGGATAAGATGGTTGGATGGCATCACTGACTCGATGGACATGAGTTTGAGGAAGCTCCGGGAGTTGGTGATGGACAGGGAAGCCTGGTATACTGCAGTCCATGGGGTTGCAAAAGTTGCAAAAGTCACTCGGACACAACTGAGTGACTGAACTGACTGATCCTTTAAAATGGCCAGTTTCATGGAATGCAGAAGCTGGGAAACTCGTCCAAATCTACGAGGGCAAAGAGAATCTAATACATGCACCCATGGTCCTGGATTGAATCACAGACTAGAAAGAGAATAACTGCAAAGGAAGTTACTGGGACAGTTGGCACCATTTGAACTTGCAGTTTGAATTAGATGATGGTAGTATATCATTGGATTTCCTAGGTGGCACTAGTGGTAAAGAACCCACCTGTCAATGCAGGTAGGCGTAAGAGACATAGATTTGTTTGCTGGAAGATCCCTTGGAGGAGGGCACATCAACCCACTCCAGTATTCCTGCCTGGAGTATCCCATGAACAGAGGAGCCTGGTAGGCTGTAGCCCATAAGGTCGCACAGAGTCAAACACAACTGAAGCGACTTAGCACACACACACAAAGTCTATCAGTGTTACATTTCCCAATTTTGAGAATTCACATTATGTAAGAGACTATCTCTGTTTATAGGAAATATGTTGAAATATTTAGGTATAGAAAAACATGGTAGCTGCAGTTTATTTTCACATGATTAGGAAAAAAAACTCATGTAAAGAAAGCAGTGGGGTCAAATATAAATGGTGAGTTTGTGTAAAAGTTATACCAGAGTTCTCTGTACTATCCTTGCCAATTATTTTCTGTACATTTGAAATTACATCCAAAAACCTAAGAAGGAGATATATATAAAGCAAAGTGTTTGATGTGTGGAGAACCAGTGTGCTCATTAATGAGCCTTTTAGTTTTGTTCAGTAACGTAAAGTCAAGTCATTCAGTCACCAGTTTTCAATCTAGGAGTTTAAGAGTAACCAGAAACTGGGTTTTTGTCTTAAAGTACTTTGAATTTAGATGAGGAGAGAAGAGCAGTGCACACAGAATCTGAACAAAAAATAATAAAGTCATTGTGTTTGGTATGTGATATGCTCTAGAACAACTGTTGGCAAATATTTTCTGTAAAGGGCCAGATAGCAAATATTTCTAGCTTTCTAGGCCATTATGATCTCCATCACAACTGCTCAGCCCTGCTTTCCAGTATGGAAGCAGCCATAGATGACACACAGAAATGATGCCTCTCTGTTCCAGTGAAACATTATTACAAGGAGAATGCAGGCTGCATCTGTCCTGAGGGCTGGTCTGTGTCCCTGACTCTCAAATGTTAACAGGGTGGGGTTTCTTAGGAGCATTTAGAGAACAGTGTGGTTAGTGGTGAAGATGTGGGCCCTGGAGGTGCTCACACCTGGTTCACACCCAGTCATTGCCACTGACAAGTTACACTGGGAGAGCTTTACACCTTTGCTTTCTTGTTTGTGAAATGGGAATAACGAGAGCCTCCTCTATAGAACGTGTGGAAGTTGGTGAGTGTAGTCATACCCTGACTGCTGCCTTCTGGCTGCTTTCCTGGCTCCTCTCTCATTCTCTAGCTGGCACCTTCCCAGCAGCCAGGATGATCCCTCATCCACTCTTACTCCTCAACCCCATGCTTCCCTGTCAGACTTACAACCACTCCTGCAAAGCCCTCACCCTGGTGGGTCCCTTGGCTGGTGCTGTATGTGTCTTGCCGGCACCACCCTCATTCACAGTGCAGGGCCTTTGAGTTGATTTTTCCCTGTCTTGGAGATTTTCATCTTACTATTCAGATTTCCCAGTAAGAGATCTCTTCCCTGGCTTCACAATTAAGTAGCCATTCAATCTTTTTATCTGATTTCCATTCCTATCCCATTTGACGGTCTCTTGTCTTTCTTTAGCCCTTTAGAAAGTGAGCTACATGACAGATAGTACCTTGTCCACCTGATTCTCCACACCCAGTCCTGAGGCCACTACCTTACAAAACAGGCATTAAAAAAGATTGGTGGAGTTAATGTAATAGGTTAATATACAAAGATTACCTAATATAAGGACTGCCCCATAACTGATGTTTAGAAACTCTTAGCTTAAAATCATTACTATACAGTCTGTAAGGTGTACATACTTCCCTTAACAGACATGAAAATGTATTATGAAGCTTGAAAATGTGACCCATGAAGAAATATTTGAAGATCAAGGCCCACTGACTAAGGAAAGAATAACACCACAGAGATTTACATCCAGTATCTGATTATACAGATTCCAGGGTAATAAAATGAATAGTTAAAAGTCTGCAAATGAATTTGAATGCCTTTTTCCTGGAGCTTTCAAACTGTCAGGCTTATACTTACTTTCCTTCCTTCCCCACTCTTCCCTTTGTGACAGTGTCTGTAGGAAGATAGACTCTGTCACAGGACCAGAAACAAGGCAGAGAAGCTTGGGGACTTGGGGCTGTCTCCAAACAATGGAGTGATTGAGCTCCCGCTTTGTTTCAGATGTCCATACAGAAGCTGTCCAGGCTGCGCTCGCTAAACACAAAGAAAGGAAGATGGCAGTGCCTATGCCTTCCAAACGCAGGTCCTTGGTTGTGCAGACCTCGATGGACGCCTACACACCCCCAGGTGAGCAGCAGGCCCAGTTGGCTTCATAGAGGGATGAGCATGCCTTAGAATTAGGTTAGTGCCAGCAACTGCAGTCTCTTTAGCTTTCAAAATCATGGTGCTATAATTCACGTTTTTGAGAACCAGAAGTCCAGAAACAGTGTATATGCTCTAAATTAAACTCGGAAGGAAAATTTGCATGATTATGTATGCATTATAATGTCTATATAAATATGCATTTTAAGATTTTAGACTCATAAATATGATACAGACTTTTGTTAAAGTCCTATAAAATTTAATTCTTCACAGCAGGAGAAGTTGGATTTCTTCTCTGCTTAGACTGGTGTATGCATATTCTCAAGTCTTCAAAATATCAATAGGTTGTAATGTTCTGTTAAGAAATTGAATGAATTGAAAAATTCAGGCAGTTACTTCCCTGGTAGCTCAGTTGGTAAAGAATCCACATGCAATGCAGGAGACCCTGGTTCGAGCCCTGGGTTGGGAGGATCCCATGGAGAAGGGAAAGGCTACCCACTCCAGTATTCTGGCCTGGAGAATTCCATGGATTTTCTAGTCCATGGGGTCGCAAAGAGTTGGACACGACTGAGCAACTTTCATTTTCAGGCAGTTACTTAAATCTGGTGACATCAGTTTTTGCTGTAAAGTGCAGATAGTATTTTTGAGTATCACAGTTGCTTGCTTTGCCACTGAGTTACTAAAGCTGCCAAGGGCAGCATATCAGTGAGAGACATAGCTGTGTGCCAATAAAAGTTTGTCATGAATTTAGGCAGAGAGTTTGGTCCACAGGCCTGTCCACCCCTGATATAAATGGTTGAAGGTAATATCCCATTTATATTTCTGCTTTTGTTTAATCTTGAATTTTATGTAGCTACCTAATTTTTCTACTTAACTCTGTGCAGATAGTTATAATCTATATCATGTGGCGCTAGTGGTAAAGAACCTGCCTGCCAATGCAGGAGACACAAGAGACGCAGGTTCAATCCCTGTGTCGGGAAGATCCCCTGGAGGAGGGCATGGCAACCTACTCCAGTGTTCTTGTGGCAAATCTCATAAACAGAGGAGCCTGGAGGGCTACAGTCCATAGGGTTGCAAAGAGTCGGTCACGGCTGAAGCGACTTAGCATGCACGTACGCACATATTATCTTAAAAACTGAAGTGAAGCACAAAATTAAATGTTCAGGTTATCTATTAGAAACACAAAGGATTGAGCCTAATTTACTTGATTTTATGTGTGTGTATGTGTGTTTCTTGTTCCAACATTATTCATAGCGTGGGTGCCACTCTTTCTTTTCTGCAGACCTAAGTTACCTGGCACATCCCTTTGTTCACAAGAGAAATTTAAGGTGGAATAAGAATAGTTGAATATATAAAGCACTTTTTGGAGTCTTGTAAAGTTTAGTCCTGAGTGTTTGCAAGCAGTGAGGGTAATAGCAGCACATACTGCAACTCAGGGATGTGATCAGGTATGTCCGCGGTACTAATTTGGACCTCTCTTCAACTTCTCATGCCTTCAAAAGTGAAAGTTCTGAACTTTATAAGACAAAACTTAAATAATATAAAACTTAGTTGTTTTGTGTTTTCTTAAAGGATAATACAAGAAATGTTCTTTATCTCAAGAATAGAATTTTCTATTAGGAAAGGGAGTCCTTTTTGCTGATTTCCTTACATTCCTTCATTTCTTAATTCTGAGCCACAACATGTAATTTGAACTGTTTTTAAATCAGCATGGGATTCACTGATGGCTCACATGGCTAAGAATCTGCCTACAATGCAGGAGACCCAGGTTCAATCCCTGAGTTGGGAAGATCTCCTGGAGAAGCGAATGGCAACTCACTGCGGTATTCATTCTTGCCTGGAGAGTTCATGAACAAAGGATCCTGGTGGGCTACAGTCCATGGGGTTGCAAAGAGTCAAACACAACCATAAGTAGTATACTTAATCCTATTTGTTTAGTTTGTGGTTATAATTTGCCGAAATATGAATGTGAAAATTTTAATTTTGTATGTGTATAACAAACAGAATGGACTTATATGGATAACAAACCCACTTCAAATATATTTTAACTAAAGCTTTGAAACTAGACAGTATTCAGGGAGTTGGACCTTTTTCTGAGCCACTTTTTATGGGAAATACTGAGTCTGAAGTACAAGGTGCAGTGTGATTTATGTGTGTGTGTGCTTTTCTTTACGTTGACTCCGTCCTCAGGGGTGTTACTGTGTCGTTCATGATGAAAGACAGAACTTTCAGGAGAACAAATCCTGTACAAATGTCTTTGCAAAATATAAAAGAACATTATTGGAAATGTCATTTTTGGTGCATTTAATTGTTTGGTTAGCATTTTCAGATATACTATATAATACATGTTGTAAACTGTCATTTAGAGTCTTAGTGACAATATCACTTGAGATAGTTTTATACAATCATAAATGCCAACACTATCATTATAAAATTTTTTATTCACAACCTGCCACACTCACACACAACTTAAAATAGCACATGGCTTAGAGAAACACTTCGAATAAAGAAGGGCTTACAGAGCATCATACTTTGAACACTTGAAAGTTTAGTGTCTTAGAAAATGCCACCATGACCTTCTTGCTTGGTGTCTTGAGTGCACAGGAAAACATTTTGTTATTCCCTAACGTCTTGAGTAGAGGACAGGTGAGGATGTCTTTGAGTTTGGAATGTCAAGAAGACTCTAGCATATATATGTAAGGTAAGGTGCTTTGGAAGAAGACCTCACTATACTGAAAAATAATTTGTCATCTGAAAAGCTTGTAACTTTTCAAGAGTGTTCGAAGGTCATGTACCAGTTAGTGTGTGAGATGGGTCTGTGTTTGGAGAGGGCCTGGGGCTGGGAATGCTGCTTGCCCCAGTCACAGCTAATCGCCTCTCTCCCACAGATACCTCCTCTGGCTCAGAAGACGAAGGCTCGGTGCAGGGCGACTCCCAGGGGACCCCCACCTCCAGCCAGGGCAGCATCAACATGGAGCATTGGATCAGCCAGGCCATCCATGGTTCTACCACCTCCACCACCTCGTCCTCTTCTACCCAGAGTGGGGGGAGTGGTGCCGCCCACAGGCTGGCCGACGTCATGGCTCAGACGCACATAGGTGAGTGCCCTGTGGCAGTCGGCTGTGCTGTTCTCCCTGTCTGTGCGTCTGAGTGGCTGCTGAGTGTCCCTACACCTTTTAGTTTGCCTTTTCCCTGTCTGTGCATCGTGGCCTCAGAACCCATTTGAGGGACAGGTCAGACCCTGTCTCTGCTCCTGGGCTGCTTTGCTGCATTGGCTTTACTGTTCTGTGAAACCCTTGGTTTTTACTATTTTTCACATGCTAGATGTCTAATACAATTATAATTTAGGAGTTTTCTGCTTGTAGAGGAGTGTTTTCTTGTTCATTAGGGAAACATGTAGCCATATCTGGTTACATGTTTTCTTCCATGCTATAATGCAGTCCTAAGTAACATTTTAATCATGCTAATAAGCATGACTGGGCACTTGAGAGTGACTCTGCCCTTACTTTGAAAAGGGGAGGCTTTCATCACTACAGCAGTTTTCTGGTGTAGGCATTCAGATTTCTGGGATGGTTCCCAGAATGTATGTTAGGTTATGAGAAGTGGGATCCTTTGTATTTAAAAAAGCACAGAGTTTGGAAGCATTGGCAAGGTGTTTGAAAACTGTGTAAAAAAGGAGATTAAGTAAGAGTTGTTAGAAGAAAGGAGGGTATTGAATGAGCAGTGGAGCTCTGTGAACCTGGAGTACCTGAGGGTCATATGTTGCTGCCTCCACCCTCGCCTGACACTCACTGTGCCACATTCAGCTGGTGTATGAGGTCCAGATCTGTTCTCATCCATTTCCATCTGTGGATTGAGGTTTTTAAATACTTAAATAATAAAATATTAATGTTCATAAAAGTAAATCGCTTGCTTTGAATGTGGTGCCAAGATGGTTCAGTATGTTCTCCATTCAAATGATGTGGACCAGGGTCAGCCACGTCCAGGGACACCAGTGCAGTGGTTGAGAACTGAGCACAGGGCAGGTGCATGTCCTCCTCCCATGTCTAGCCTCCTATCCAAAAAATCCACATTTAGAAGATAGGTTAGTGAAATGAATGAATTCGATACTCTGCCACCTTCTCAGATTCACATTCACACAATGTTTTTTTCTAGATTACTATCGCCATGACAGAGTCAGAGGAGTTCCATACTGACTTCTAGGACTTGGCCTCAGTGGTGCTTGCTCAGCATGCAGCTGAGGTTAAAAGCCGCAGCCTTTCCAGAATCAGCAGTGAAGCCAATTGTCTCCCAGCAGGACACAGGGAGGGCTGGCTTCCTCAGCAGTCACTGTTGGCCTGCTCTAGTTTGTTAGTGGAAAGAAGAGGAATGATCTGTCTTTCCTTTGCCACCTCTCCATTGTGAATAAAAGGGGAAAATAGGAAAATTCTTCATAGTTTTTAAAGTAATGCTCACATGCAAAGTGGTATTATTAAATTTGAGTTTAAAACATTTTTGGTAGCATACGTTGGTTACTGTGTACTGAGAAACTATTTGAAATCTGAGAAACTTGTGACCATTAGATATTTTTGGACACTAAAAGTTTTCCCCGAATGTTTAGGAACCTGAGACAGTCCCTCGGCGCTGTCCGCGTGCTGCATCCAGCAGCCACATGTGCAGCGGGGGGGCATGAAGCTCCCTCCACCTTTGCCCCTCGCTCTGACCTTGGGAATGTGTATTTCCTGATTCAGTTCACTTTTAAGGAAATAACAGCAATCTTACCAAGAGAAATACGTAATTTTGGACATATTACTCCCTGCATTTGTTTCTCACTTTATGAAGTTACACAGGGAATATTGGAGGAAATTATAGCACAGAGAATTAAACCTACCCAGACCATAAAAGGTTGCATTACTCATGTGCGTTAAGTCTCAGTGTAAACTAAAAGAGAGCTTCTGAGTATGTGACATTTCACTAATTTCTAATTTGGCACAAAGATAAGTTCCTAGAATATATGGGAATTATCTATAAATGCAGAACAAATTTTGTTGAAAGAAAGCAGTGGCAAAATAATAAGAAAAGGAGAATTAAGATTTTTTTTTTCCCTGTGGTAAAAGCCAAAGAAGTGAAAATTCAGAATTGACAGTATTTGACCTTTTGTTGAGGCCATCAAAAGCCTGCAAAATAAGAAAGTATTATGTGTGCATGTGTGTTTTAAGAAGTGTAGGGTCAAATAAACCACCACTGTGCACCTTGGGTGCAAAGAGGAATGCACCTCTTGAGGTGAGGCACTTGGATAGAGTCTGTGGAAATGTCTCTCGCCCAGTGGGCAGAGGGAAAATGAGTGGTTAGAGACCACCAAGTGACAGACAAGTGAGTAGTACTTCTGCTCTGTTGTTTTAGAAGGAAATCCTGCATCCTTATACGTCCATCCTGATGCACAGGGGCAGCACTCACCTTCTGTCAGACTGGCTTAGTGGATGACGTGGTCCCCATCCAGGGAGTCTTTCTTCCTTTGGCTCTGCTAGATGGTATTCACACTTGAGCACTGACAGTGAGGGCTCAAGGCATCCCTGTCACAAGATGCTAACAAATTCCTGAGGCATTTGTGACTCAGGAAGATGGACTCACCATGCAATGGCCTCTCCAACCTAGACAGAACAGGGCCTTCACATTGTCAAGAGAGAAAACCAGAAAGTGTCTTCAGAACCTTTGTGCATGCTGTGTTCCTGAGACAATTGGCAAAGGATTAGTACCTTTAAAATACTTTATTAAAAGTCAAGGAACATAATTTAGAGTAACCAGAAGAATTAAAACAACACTTGAAACTTCAAGAGGTGTATTTATAAAAAGGTACTGGAGTAAGGTATTACCGGAATTAGCTACATGGAAATAGAGAAAGTGAAAAGAAACTATTACTACATTTCTAGATTAAGAAATAAGAACAAAGCAGAATAGATAACATTGTTGTACATTCAGCATCAAAATTTGTATAGTCAGGAAATTAAAGAGACTTCTTCATGAGCTACAGATGTATAGGTAAGGTGTGTGTCATCCTTTGTGACTAATACATTTGAGATATTGTCACATATGGGTTTCATCTGCATGTGTTGGGGTATATTGTCATTAGCCAGATATTCATAGAAGTGATTGCATTTCCAGAGTATCATAGAGTTTATCAGCATGAATGCTGCTGTTTGTATCAGCAAGGAAATTCTCGTCAGGTTTCCTACATTGATCCTGCTAAGCAGGTAGACGTGCCTTCATGTGCTTGATGCATAATTAGCCTAGAGCCTGGCATTTGCTCAGGATATAGATTCTGGTTTTCTAGGGAATTTGCTCAGAGGGCTAAATGTAATAAATAACCATAATTTATTTATGTATAATCATCCATAGTATCAGTTCTTTTGTAATCTCTTTACTGATACTTTTCAGACATTTACAGTCTTAAAATACTAACTACACACCAAGGATGGTGGTATTAGCAAAGTCTGCACCACTGGGGCTGGGGTCTCTCTGTGACACTCTTGCTTCCCTTCCTGGCCAGGGAGTCCCCAGCAGCTGGAGCTTCCTGATTGAGAGGCAGTGTCCGCCGGTTTTTCCAGGAAAGGGCCAAAGAGTGGGTGTCAGGCTTTGTGGGCCATACAGTCCCTGCTGCTGCTCCTCTGCCCTGGCTCAAGAGCAAGAGACCATGCGTGAACAGCAGGCGTGGCTGTGCACCAGCAAGACTTCATTTATAAACACAGCTGACAGGCCGCCCTGTGAGCCATAGTTTGCCAGCTCCTGTTTCAGAGAATTTTAAGCCATGCTATTGAAAAAGTAAGCAGGAAAAGAAAATCTGCATTAGGTAACACAAGGCCTGTGAGACTCTTCCATCAATTACTGTGTGTTTCTGTGGCTCTGTGGGTGATTCTGTTCTGTCCCCAGGTGATTATTAAAGAGTAAGGAGATAAATCTTCACTTACATTGTCATGTGTCAGTATGACCCATGGGTGACACACCAGTAGAACCCTCCTGTTGGGGCTTCTGTCACACTGGGGAGGTGGATGTTTCGGGGGAAACCAAGGAGGAAGGCCTGCTCTTTTGGTGACCTGCACATGGAAGACAGGTTGGTACAGTGGGCAGCCGAGCAGCATCTCCAGTGACAAGCTGAATGCTCTGACTGCTTCCCTCAGCATCGTTGCAGGCGCCTTTCACCGGGTGTTACCTCCATGTTTCCACTGAGGAACCCGGTTTTCTGTTGCCATGTGGAGGGCACAGCCATGTCGTCTTAGGAAGCCAGAGCAGCTGGGTGGACGGGTGGTCTGAGGGCCTACGTTACTTCCTGCTCAGTGACAGAAGAGGTTGTATTGACTGGGAGAGACTTGGGAGGGCCCTGTTGACAGATGGAAGGCTGGGTTCCTTAACGCGGCCCTACTTATCTGTCATCAGTTAGTGGACCACGAGTACTTAGCTTTCTACACATGAAGAACAGATTTCCTCTTTTTCTTCTCTTATTTTAGAATTTGTTTGGGGACTAAAAATAACAGGCTGAAAGTAGCTTCTCTGACCACTGACCCCTGAGGTCCCTAGTCAGAATTAAGGAAAGTTGCTTTTTAGCAATGTGAGAAACAGAAGCATGTTATCTCCAGTCATCAAGTGCTCTGGTGTACTCATTCTTGTGTTCATTCTTTCTTTGAACTATCACTCCAATGTTTGCTGAGTGAAAACGATGTGAGCTGGGTGTTGGGCAACTTCAGCATCTGAGTAGGACACAAGAGCCGGACTGAACTGGACGCCTGCGAGAGTGGAGATAGGGAAGGGGGTGGTTCAAGGACGCATGGAATCCCATGGTGGAGCTGAGCAGGAAGATCAGCTAGTACCCTGAAATGGTCATGGCTAAAACAGCTGTCCACAGGGTTGGATGGTTGGCAAGAGTAACAGACTAACATCCTGAGTGGGAGGGGGATGCAGTGAGTGAGATAGACCTCTGGTACTGGTGGTGCCAAGACAGCAGATACTGTCCTGGAAGAAGGCCAAACACACTCCCCTCCCATCTTCTCCTAGTGCCTTGATTCCAGGGTCTTCAGGAACCCATGGCAGCTGCTGGGAACAGAAGCCATACCAGGGTGGATGGAAC